GTCCCAACCCTCCAAGGAAAGATCTAGTCGAATATTAACCCTAACATTCTGACACGAGGACATAGCTAAATAAACTGTGTGTATTATTAGTAAACACTTCTACAAAACTTGCACCAAGTGTACACTTACCATGAGCTCAAGGTTAATTAACCGTTTCCCATACAAGCAAAAATCATTGTATATGCATATTAAAATATGGTGACCACATATAACTGCTGCTCAGTGCACCAAAACCTTACTTAGGAGTACCACAAAGTTATCATGAAACACCAAATCTAAAGAAACACGAAAAAGAATGATACACTTACCATGTGTTCAAGAAAACACCAAATATATAATATAGTAGTGGGTTTAGTTATTGGCTTAGCCCTTTTTATAATCTTAACTTAGATTTAGATTCATCTCTTTATTATGCACTGCATACCCATCCCATGGGCAGTGGTGGAAAGGGTTCCAGAGGCACATAACCGGTTCAGGAACTAAACCCCATGGACACTAGCTAATTAGTCATTTTTTTGGTTAATATCTTATATCTTTGCTTAGCATTTTCATCATTTGCTTATCAGTAGTTTTGCTCCGTGCCTAGGCATTAAAGTAATCCTTTGCTTGGTTATAAGTCAGTCTTCATCTTTCCCCTTTCATTATATGGTTCTTTGCTTAGAGCATTAGCTTACCAGCAATCTGTTGCTTAGTCATCCACAAACACAATTTTCAATTTAATATAAACTCCATTAATCACCTACATTTGCCTCCTGTTTATAGAATTGCCAGAACATCACAAATTATGACAACCTCACTTCCAAACACAATAAACACAAGAAAATTCCAGTTTATGGCAATTTTCATAGGTTACATCGCCCCATTAAACTAGTTGTGGGCTTCTTCAATGTTCTATTTTACTTCTTGTTAAAAACAACCAATCTAATCTGATTCTCTGTTACAGTTCATGGAAAACAAACATTATTATTATTATTGTAATACAGTATTATTATTAATTTATTAAATTAATTTATTTTCAATGAACCAAACTAAATTTAAAACAAATTTACACAGGCACTAATTTTTTACTCAAAACTTGCAGTGGCCCAAATTTTTATTATTGAAATTCTAGTTAGTGTGTTTTAAGTTTTAAACTAAACTTTTGGGCCCAAATCTATAAAATATAATAGAATATCTGTTTGTCTATCTGAAGTAGACTAGATGCTTGGGGCTACCCTCACCCAAGTTTCGCACGTGAAACGTGGAAAGGGGGAGGAGAAGGGGAGGGGAGTATGTAAATGTCATAGGCCAGTCATGGCCGGCCTAAGTGTCAAGCTTTAAGAAATATTGGCATCTTAAAAGCATCCCCCCCCCCTCACCTGTGATTGTCATGAAGTCTGAAATAAAATCAGGGTTTATGAAAATCATTGTTTGATGTTCACTCATGCTTTTTACCGGGGTGAAATGGAAGGGGGGGGGGGTAAGAAGGGATAGAGGGAAGGAGAGGGGAAGAAAGTTGGAAAGGGAAGGAGAGGGGAAAGAATGGTGGAGACTTGGAGAGAGGGTGGAGAAGGAAGGTGAAGGGCCAATAAAGTTAGAGACAGTGAAAGAATGGGTGGGGGTAGAGAGGAAAGGAGGGGGGGGGGTAAGAAAAGGATGTTGGGGGAGGAAAGGTGGATAGGGGAAGAGGGGAAAGAGAGATGGGAAGGTAGGGCAGATAGGGAAAGTGTGTTGAGAGAATGTGGGGTGGGGGAAGGAAAATGCAAGGTGAAGAAAGAGGAGAGGGGAAGGGGAGAGACCCCTGGGCACAGCTGGATACCCCATCTATTATTCATTATAAGTACAGTGTTCATTTGTGTTTGTGTGCAGGCAAATATCCACTGATGGTCCCATTCCCAATACAAATGACTAATCATTCTTCTATTGAATAGTTACATAAATCCAATCCATCCTCCTGGAATGATTGTATATACTTACAGTAACTATTTAGTTGAAGATTCAATATGTAGTGATGGACCACCAGTAAATCACTTTTTTTACTAATAATCTTATAGTCCAGAAAAAAATAAAGCTGAAAACCAAACTTAAATATTCCTAGGCCTACTAAAGCACATATATGTACACATACAGTACTGTATATGTAATATAGTACACTCTACATATATATAGCATATATATGTACTGTACTATATTACTTTGTATCAACTAGTTACTACAAGTACTTTCATTTGAGGGAGAATGGCTGCATAAATTAGGATTTTTAAGGTGAACATAAGATTCAAGTAACAATTAAGTAGAAAAAACACTTAGTTACATCTATATGGGCACATGTGGTAACACACAACATGTTTGCTGATGATGCTAAGATAATAGGGAAGATAAGTAACTTAGATGATTGTCTTGCCCTTCAAGAAGACCTGGACAAAATAAGTATATGGAGCACTACTTGGCAAATGAAATTTAATGTAAATAAATGCCATGTTATGGAATATGGAATATGAGAACATAGGCCCCACACAACCTATAAATTATGTGAGAAATCTTTAAAGAGATCTAGGGCAGGGTTCAATCCCAGGCGCCGGCGAGAAACAATGGGCAGTTTCTTTCACCCTATGCCCCTGTTACCTAGCAGTAAAATAGGTACCTGGGTGTTAGTCAGCTGTTACGGGGTGCTTCCTGGGGGTGGAGGCCTGGTCGAGGACCGGGCCGCGGGGACACTAAAGCCCCGAAATCATCTCAAGATAACCTCAAGAAGATACCCATATCTTAAGAAGCACATCAACAAACTGGAAAAGGTGCAAAGACATGCCACTAAATGGCTCCCAGAACTGAAGGACAAGAGCTACAAGGAGAGGTTAGAGGCATTAAATATGCCAAAACTAGAAGATAGAAGAAAAAGAGGCGGTATGATCACTACGTACAAAATAGTAACAGGAATTAATAAAATTGATAAGGAAGATTTCCTGAGACCTAAAACTTCAAGAACAACAGGTCATAGATTTATACTAACTAAACAAAGATGCCGAAGAAATATAAGAAAATTCACTTTCGCAAACAGAGTGGTAGACGGTTGGAACAAGTTAGGTGCGAAGGTCGTGGAGGCCAAAACCGTCAGTAATTTCAAAGCATTGTATGACAAAGAGTGCTGGGAAGATGGGACATCACGAGTGTAGCTCTCATCCTGTAATTACACTTAGGTAATAACAAGGCGGTTGCCCAGACTATTTGCCCTGAGTAATTAATATTGTATGCTCATCATATATTATATATTCCATCTGGTACTACTAGTACCGTAGTGATTCTTCAATCAACCACTCATGGGCTTGGTCAGTTACCAAATGGGTGGCCACAATACAGCCATGTCCTTTGCAAAGGGGATCACACAAATCCATATACCGATTTACTGTCTTCAACATGTCATGTATGAGCTTACTGGCACCAAGAAGTCATACATTGGCTAATTGTCCTCGACAGGCCATGTATAGGCTCAATGTCACCCACACACACATGAATTCACTGTATACTCTTAGTGGTTTAGCCATATAAGGCAGTTAATGGGACTGGCTGAGGGAGGTGCATGCGAACTGGCATCTGACTCCACAAATTACTTACCTTGACCAACAGCAGGTGGCACCCCATCTATACTCGACCTCATAAACGAACGAGAACTAGAACACCCAAAACAGAGGTGGTCCAATATGGGCTGACAAACTACAGCCACAGGAGAGGAAATGTACTACAAAAACCTCATGAAAGAGGAGAGGAAAAAATTGGAGAAGCAAACAGGAGAGCAAGGGTCCATGCCGAATCCAAAGAATCGCCTAACACAGCCTGTAGGCACACGAGTCGGACAGCTAAGAACATGCACCACCTCTAGATGCATGGAGCATACAGTTTGGAAAGTGCAGCTGACGCAGTAACAGCGGAGGCCAAGACCCCTGTATGTGACCCCCATATCCTCCATGAGCCGATCAGTATGCAGCTTAAGGAAACCCAGGAAATGCATGACAGAACCCAAATGCAGACGAACCCAAATGCAGCATATCCAATTATCATTGTCAATTATGTAAAGTAAAAAGCCAAACGGCATCAAAGACTCACCCTTGTGGCACTACACATGTTACAACTATGTTCATACACATTACTTGCAGCCACATGACCATTTCCCAAACCATCTTATTGCACCACAGTCTATACAATAGGTTCACTTTTAAAACAAGCTTCAGTGAGAAACTATCAAAGGCTTTCTGAACTCTTAGATATATTATGCATACCACCTTGCTTTTCTTGTATATTTTTAAAATTTAATACAAAAATCAAGATTAATAAACATTAACAATTTATCTATAAGCCTGGTGGCTGAGCGGACAGAACACAGGACGCGTGATTCTGTGGTCCCGGGTTTGATCCCGGGCACCGGCGAGAAACAATGTGCTTAGTTTCTTTCACCCTGATGCCCCTGTTACCTAGCAGTAAATAGGTACCTGGGAGTTAGTCAGCTGTCACGGGCTGTTTCCTGGGGGGGTGGAGGCCTGGTCGAGGACTGGGCCATGGGGACTCTAAGCCCCGAAATCATCTCAAGATAACCTCAAGAAGCCATGCTGGAAATCTCTAAGTAGATGTTAACTCCAAGTGTTGTGCTGTATGATCTTGTATAACTGTTTCCATGAGATTACCACCTTGCAAAGTCAAGTTGATTGGTTGATATTTACAAGGAAAATCTGATTTTTGTTTATGTACTGTACTGGTATTATATCTGTAATTTTTTCGTTCATATAAAAATTAATATAATAGAAAGATCTGTCATCATTAATGTGCCTAATGTTTACTGGAGGTAACATTTCATTAGGATGACAATTTGACAAATTTGTTTCAGATAACTGACATCATACTGTGTAGAGTAATAGTTCGAATAACATACATTTGTCATAATCTACAAGCTTTAAGCTAACAGCCAATAAAGCATTACAAATAAATGAATGTTAAATAAAATGGTCCCCTAAGGATAATGATAACTAATATATGTTTCATCACATCTTTCACTAATAATGTCACTGAAATTAATACAATTATTACACAATTATTAATAATAATATACATCAATATATCATAAAAGGTCATCAAAGCTTCACATAGTGCCCAGTAACTGACGAGCCAAGTTTTATACAAAAAGTGAAAACATACACTTATAACTAGTGATAAAGAAATTTGATCTGGAAAGCAAATAAATACTAATAAATAAATCATAGGACAAGGTACAAAAAAACCAAACCTGCTCTAATTGTTTCTTCTGTGCTAACATGAACGTAATTTCTAATAAGAACATTCAAGCTATCTTTGGTCTACACCGCTCGCCAATAACATAAAACTATAAACAAAGCCCTTCAGTTATTACCAATGCACTCTACAGCCATGACCACAATATCCCTGCAAGTGTGAGCCTGCATGATCATGTATAAAAGAATTGATTATTCAGTGTCTACTTGAATTATTTCATAATTAAAATACAGTAATCAGAAAATATACACATATAATCTACATTACAGTCATAAGTTTAAAGCTTATATCAAGTTCTCTGTACACATTACTTTCTAGTGGAATTTTATAATTTGAAGGTTTTTACTCTTTTTACAACTTGCGCTTCTCAGCCATCTTTGCTGCAGCTTTCTTTTTCATCAAGTGCATTCTCCTCTCAGCAGAAATCATGGAGTTGGATGGTGCAGATGATTTTGTTGATGACGATGATGACAGTGACGACTTGTTGCTGCCATTGCTATTGCCACCACTGTTGTTGGAGCCTGCAATGTTTAAATGCACTGTATAACATTACTGTAATCTACTGTTCCTTTTTAACATGCTTGTGTAACTCATGTTGAACTTGCTCATATATCCATTAATTACTCTCTCAAAATGTGTACCTAAGCCTAAATTAAAAAAGCCTAGAATTTATGTACACTTAACATTGACAAACAATACAAATTTCTGCTAGCAATACAAACAGAATTTATATATGTATATCTATTTTATATACTGTATAATGATGTTGTTTCCCACTTTCATGAAGAGAGGCATCGGTCTTTAGCGCCCTAATATCTACCCGGGGACTACAAGCAGAGAAACGTGAGACCAGGCACTCTCTCACACCCTCCTTGGGTTTGTACAGTTATAGAATGTGTGTGTTAATCAGTGACTGGCATTTGCTCCTCTGCCAATTTCCTTGATCTCTACCATGTTGTAGGGGGTACTTAAGTCACTACAAATCCATAAAAGAAAGGGAAGCCATATAGGAAAAGAAGAGTAAAGTGTATATACAATCACTACCATTGCTCCTACCGACTTCACACATTCATAAGCCACTTTAATTAACTGGCCCATGTCACTTTGAATTCTTGATAAAATATCCTTACAATGTACAAACAAAAATTTCAAGCAATTTTCTATATTGAGTTTAAATTGTTTTACAGCTAAGAAACAATAAAATTAGGTACTTGAGAGAATACAACCCTTGGCCAGCCACATTTGGCAAGTGTATTATAATGGGACAATGATAATGACAGTACTATCTGCAATGTTAATCATCAATTAAACTCTGTAAAAGAAAGACATACAATCATCTTACCTAAGTTTCTTCCAGAAGCAGAGGACAGGTTAGTAAATGGAGAGGGACGAGAGAGACTATTAAGACCCTTAGTGGGTGAGGCAGCGGGACGTGTGTGTGACCCTCCACCCTTCCCTCCACTTGACAAGCTGGGCATTCCTCCACCTCCAACTCCTCGAGTGCCACTCAAGTTACTACTTCCAGAGGAGTTAACCATTGCAGTCTGTGATGTAAAAATGATACGATAAAATAGAGATTATAAATCATCCTAACACATGATTCAAATATAGTTTCTTAGAAATATATTATTACACAAAAATTAACTTCACTACAGCCCCCCACCCTATCACAGCTGCATGTTGTTGAATTAAAAATAATCAAACCACTCTCCATATTGAATATTTAATATTCCTAAATTCCACTTACAGAAACCCTGCTTCTTTCCCACATTTGCTCATAAACTGGTCTTCAATTTGGTAAGAATGGTAAGAATTTATAAATTTCTTATTGTTTATTAAATACTAATAAAGACATTACCATTGCTACAAAATTACTCTGGTTTTCAAGCCATATTTTATGATCATCATCATCATCATTTTTCCATTTTCAACTCTGATGGGGTGGAGAAGCAACAGCCAAAAGAAAAGTGGAAATGATGTTGAAGGCTGCCAAGCCTTAGGGAATTATTACACCAGGTCCAGACCTACCCAAACCTACCAGGAACCAGTACCAAAACCTGACTAAACTAGGTGAGGGAAGCTTAGGCATCAGAGATTAAACTAAAACCAAGAAAAAATAGAAAACAAAGCACATCAAAACAAGCTTGAAAGAAATTTGTTATCCTTAGAAAAATAAGGTAAACAATACAGTGGAACCTCGAATAACGACTTTAATCCGTTCCGGTGCCGTGGTCGTCATGTGAAACTGACGTCATTCAAAACGAAGTTCCCGATTAAAAAGAATGTAAATAGAAATAATCCGTTCTACCACCAAAAGACATCAATATGATATTCGATGTTTTAAATAATGGAGCAACCTACCTTACATACACTGAACAAACCTTTATGACATTTTTCTTTCTTTAAATTTGTTCAATTTTTTTTTTAATTTTTTGTATAGCAAAAGGTTCGTTCAGTGTTTGCCAGGTAGGCTGCTACATGTTAATTAAAAAAAAAATGAAGAATTTTGAAAAAAACAGAACAAATGTCAAAAAGGTTTGTTCGGTGTTCGGCAGATAGGCTGCTCCATGTTTCTTAAATTAAAAAAAAAAAAAAAAATAACAAAAACAGTTGAAACAAATTGAAAAACAGACAAATGTCATAAAGGTTCATTCAGTGTTTGTCGGGTAGATTGCTCCATTATGACAATCTTTCTGTGTTTCAAATGTGTTATATTTGTTTTGTATTTTTCATTTATTTCTCAATATTGGAGCAGTCTACCCAACAAACACTGAACGAACCATTATGGCATTTGTCCATTTTTCAAATTGTTTCATCTTTTTTTTTTTTTTATTTAAGAAACATGGAGCAGCCTACCTGCCGAACACCGAACAAACCTTTTTGACATTTGTTCTGTTTTTCAAAATTCTTCTTTTTTTTCATTTTTTTTTTTAAGAAACATGGAGCAGTCTACCTGACAAATACCGAACGAGCCTTTTTGATATTTGTTCTTTCTTTAAAAAAATTAATTTCATTTTTCTACAAAAAAATCAATGCTTTGCAACATCCCACCATCAATAGCATCTTTAAACAAAGAAGAAAAATTTATTTGCATCGTCGGAGACATCCGAGAATGTGCGAGAAACCGCCCGCGACCCCACCATGTGGTGTTGACGTTATTCAAACGAGCGGCTGCCTAACAAGACGAATTGTCGGCGATTGGGGCATTCTTTACCCAGATTGGTCGCCATTTGAGGCAGTCGTCACTCGAGGTTCTACTGTATTGGGACAAGGAAAACACTGGTCAAGAACAGACAGGTCCAGAATGTAGTGAGGATCTAGAGTATCTCATATGGGAGTGGGGAATAAGCAGGTGTTATGACTTAATCTGCTAATCACCAGATATTTTACCTACCAAGATTGTGAGAAAAACCTAGCAACACATCTCAGAGAGAAGGGACTTCGTGACACACCACCAACATGAGTTCAGGGATGGTAAATCTTGCCTCACAGGTTTACTAAAATTCTATGACCAGGTGACAAAGATTTAGCAAGAAAGAGAAGGTTGGGCTGACTGCATTTTCTTGGACTGTCAAAAAGCCTTTGACACAGTACCCCATATGAGGCTGATGCATAAGTAGGAGAAACAGGCAAGAGTAACTGGTAGAGTGCTCCAGTGGATAAGGGAGTACCTAAGCAATAGGAAGCAGAGAGTTACTGTGAGGGGTGAGACCTCAGATTGTCATGAAGTCACAAGCGGATTCCCACAGGGTTCTGTACTCAGACCTATCCTGTTTCAGATATACGTAAATGATCTTCCAGAGGGTATAGACTCATTCCTCTCAATGTTTGCTGATGATGCCAAAATTATGAGAAGGATTAAGACAGAGGAGGACAGCATGAGGCTTCAAGAACACCTGGACAAACTGAAGGAATGGTCCAACAAATGGTTGTTAGAGTTTAACCCGAGCAAACGTAGTATAATGAAAATAGGTGTAGGGAGCAGGAGGCCAGATACAAGGTATCATTTGGGAGATGAAATTCTTCTAGAATCAGAGACAGAAAGACCTGGGGGTTGGTATCATGCCAGACCTGTCCCCTGAAGCTCACATCAAGAGTTCAAGAAGACCTGGCACATCAGCGGCATGTGCCAGGTTGGCCAACATAAGAACGACCTTTAGAAACTTGTGTAAGGAATCATTCAGAACTTTGTATACCACGTATGTCAGACCGATCCTGGAGTATGCAGCTCCAGCATGGAGTCCATATCTCGTCAAGCATAGAACTAAATTGGAGAAGGTTCAGAGGTTTGCTACCAGACTAGTGCCCAAACTGAGGGGCATGAGCTATGAGGAGAAACTACGGGCAGACTACGAGACTACAGACAGACATATAATATCTGGCTGCCATACAGATGTCATTACAGTTATGATTATAAACTTGGCAGCAGCATCAGCTGATGTCTAGATGATCTGGCTCAACCATTAAGTATACCATACCCAATTAATCTCCATGCAATAAATTACTACTCTTAACACATGTTAGTTCTGTGTACTAGTTGCAGAACTCTTGCAGTTATGCCAATGCAAAGAAAATTGCAACTTACAAAAAAAGGTATGTAAATTAAATACTGGACTAGCTTGCAGACGATGACTTACAATAACATGGCTAAAGATATGATGACCAAATCACACATAATTTAGATGTTTTATTGAGTGGATTCTAGCAGTAAAAGATCTTTGCATGCTCCTGGTCAGCAATTTCTCCAGCTTTGATTGGGGCTGAAAGTGTGCAGCAATATTTCACTAGAGAGCACTGTCTTAAAAAGTTTCATCACATGGCATCTCTAGTTTGGAAGGTTCTTGTTATCCAACCTGTTATTTTTCTTGCAGTTGTGACAGCAACTTTGTTGTATTCTTTAAAAGTAAGGTCTTCTGACATGATTACCTCTAAATCTTTTACATGCTATTTCTGTGGCCCATTGAAAGGCTTGATTAACATCAGATTACAGGTTTGCTGTGTCCTCTATATTATTTACTCTCATGAAAATTCTAGTGTCATCTATAAAGGATAATACAGCACTATAGTTTATATCCTTGTCTATGTCCAATATGAGGATAAGGAAAAGTACTGGAGCAAGCACAGTACCTTGGGGAGATTGAACTTTTATTTGTGAATAATTCAAATTTTACTTTGTTTCACTCTGGGCTCTGTTTGTTTGGAAGTTAAAAATCTATCACCCTACTTTACCAGTACAGTACTGTATTTCTTTTTTGTGCGCATTTTGTGTGGAATACCACTATTGTCACATTTGTTCAAAGCTTTTGCTACATCTGTGTATATTACATCAGCATTTGTCTTCCATGGCATCTAAGGCCACATCATAGTGGTATAGCAATTGAAAGGTAGGAGTGCCCTGTTCTGAACCCATGTTGCCCAGGCTATAGACACTGTGATTCCATGTGTTTTGTGATCTTACTTCTTAGCACTCAAAGATTTTTATGTGTGATGTGAGAGTTACTGGTCTATAATTTTTGGCATCAGCTTTACTACCTCAGCACAGTGGTGCAATTTCTGCTGCTTTAAGTATGTCAGGGATAACTCCAATATCTAGGCTAGTCTCCAAAAAGAGGTTTAGGAACTGTGATAGTGATAACACTAAGTCAATCTGCATGTCAGTTGGCTAGGAATCTGGTTCTTTCCACAGCATACCAGGTTTGGGTTCCTGGTGAACTAGAGAAGTCCCAGTTGGTGCCATCCCAGGTTTCTAGGCCTTGTTTGGGACTCTCGAGCGGTGTCTCCTTCCCTGCTTCTGGTGGCTTTACTCTGCCTGCAGCTTCATGACCAATGCTCACCAGGCTGCCCAGAGGCAGTGGTCGGGTCCATTCCTTTGGGCATACAGAATGGTACACGAGTTTGTGGTGTGACAAGCCCTGAAGCTTCACTCCAACTGCTCCTCAGTAGTTTCTTGAACTGAGGGGGGGGGTCACCTCAGTCCCTTCCCATGTGAAACTGGACACTGAGCAACTCGGTTTCCGACTTCTTGGGGTTTGGTTCTTTGTGCAGTTTATGTGCAGGGTGTGTCCAACATTCTCTCAGATGGTTTAACTCGTTTCTGTCCCATTTCCGTGGATTGGACCATCTCATGACGCATTCTTTCATTGGTTTTGTGAGACTTTCAGGTTGCTGAGAGGCGGACCTCTTCACGTCAACGTGGAACCAGCAGCTTCTCTCCTATGTGGCTTTATTGCCCAATAGCAATACTCTCATAGTGGATGTCTTTTGGCTGGACTGGTCAAGGTGGAGGTTTATTTACCTGTCTGTCCCAGTTCATTTGTTGCTCCAGGTGTTGTATGACCTGGAGTTGTACGTGGGGAGGATGCTCCTTCAAACCCTTGGTGGCCAGCCCAGCCTTGGTTTCTGGCACTTCTAGCCCAGTGTCCGAACTGGATATTTTTCTGTGGCTCTATCTCTTCCAGCAAATCGGCAAACCAGCGCAGTACCTAGCTAGTTCAACCTTCTCTGATCTACCTTCTCTGTCCCACCTGCATCTTTCTTTGTGGCAGCACTATGATGTTGCCTGGTGCTCATTTTGCCACTATTTGTCTCTTTGGGTTGTATTTCCTCAGTCTCCATCCGGTCTATCTTGTCCTTCCTGTCATAGTTGTTTCTTAATTGACATCTCATGTTGAATGCTGTTGCCTTATATCACTTGGTGTTGCCCAAGCTGCTGTTGCTTGTATTCAGTGTCAACATCTCCATGGCACTGTTTTGCATGTTGTCCCATGTATTTTTTCATCTCTGGCCTGCTCATGCTCCTGAGCCATCCTAGTTGCTTGACCAAGTTTTGGCTTTTTTCTCCTCGCCTGGGTTTATGGTTTACCCTTCAGCTTGTGATGCTTTTCTGAAGGCTGTCTTCCCCTTTGGCTTGCGATGTTTTTCTTAAGGTTGTCTTTTCTTTGGTTTTTGCTTCTGGGGAGCTTTAGACTATTCTTGAGAGGTAGGGGCTCTGTTCTTTTGGCCATGGTGGGGAGTTTGTGCATTTGCAGCCACCTTCTTTTCTGGTGAGGAATGAGTCAACAGACTTCCGGAGGGAATGCTTAGTGATTGATGCTTGGTCGGTTCGCTGGGGGTGCATTATTTGTTGTGTCCGGTGGTGGCCCTTTGCTGGCAATTACCACTACCCACATGTCACTGGTTCTGACTTTGTGGATGCCTTGTTGGTTGACCCAGATTCCTTGGTACCCTGTTCAAAGGTTCACATTTCTCAGGTCATCTGCAGTGTCATTATGTCTACCCTCAAGCCCATGATGTTCGCATATACGTGGCTTTGGTTGCCATCTTTAACATGCCAAGGGCTGATATTCAGATTCAGGGTTTTGGCATTCTAACAAGGTTCTGGCAGCCCAGTATTTATTCAATGTCCCTTGTTCCAGTCAGTTGTGTGTTGCTTTGGGCCATGTCTCCTGACCTGGTTTCATGTCTTTAACCTAGTGTCTCCTGCTTCCCCCTCCTTTCAAAGTCCCATTTTTGTTCTCTGTAGTTAGTTACCTCCAGGGAGCCACTGGAAGGCTTCCTCAAGAACCCCAGCATTGTGTGTAATGAAATGCCTCTTTCTGGAGGAACCCTGGTGGCTCCCTGATTTCCCACCCTCCAGGTTCTCCGGTTTGTCATGGGTTGTTCATCAGTTCCAGAACTGAGGTAGTGAGACTAGTTGAGAGTCGAGGCTCAGCTACTTTGTGATGGTAATCGGTACTAATGAGTTTCAAGCTAGTTTTAGTGAATCCCATGTTGCATGTGAATCATTTGTGGAATTGTTTGGCAGTTTTGAGGCTTAGTTTTCTGTGAACCCTCCAGTTGTCTATAAGGCTTTGCTGACATTCTGGAGGCTTTTTCCAGTACATAGATTCTCACTGCTCCCTGTGCCTCTGTGAGGGGGCCCCCCAGGTTCTGACTCTGGTCTCTAGTAGGCTAAACACAACTTCTGTGACTGATGTGACCTTTTAGTATGTAGCAATCTCTACAAGATGGTATCAGGAAGCCAGCAGGGTTCCTCCAGAATGATGTATTTCATTGCAAGGCTTTTGCCTGAGGTAATGATTGTTTGCCTCGTTTGCCTATGAAACGAGTCTTAGGCAAAGTCTTTGTATTTCTTCCGGCAGTAGATTGCTATATTCATTATTTTTCTGTAGGCATTTTCTCAAGTTTGGTCTTTGGTCAATGTCTCATACCCAAGCTACCACTTCTCAGAGAGAGAGCCAGATTCTCATTCCAACTCCCAATAGGTCAGCATACTTGTTTCACCAGAGTACAAGCTACTTGCAGCTACTGAGGGAGCCCTCCAGAAACCCAAAACAGAAAATATGACTTTGAAAGAATTCAGAGTAGAATTCAACCCACGACATGGTGATGTATCTTGTGGACAATGAACCTTCAACGAGGCAGTGTTCAGAGGCAAGATGGGGTAATTAAATGACATCAAATATAAGTACTGTAACTACCTCACTACCACCATCACTTAGGGCCTGGAAGGAATGTAGTTTAAAGTTGCTCAAAATGTATAAATAAGATAATAAAAATACAATTGGAACAATGAAATAACAAATATATACAGAACTTCAGAGCAAAGAATGCAGAAAATTGTCACATTAACTGCTTATAGTGCTTGGCAAGCTGACAACTGGTCCCCGTGCCATCAGAGGTCACCCATGAGCTACAAGAGAGAACAAAGTAATAAATAAACCTTTATTCACACTCTCTTCACTACACAAATGGAATTAATGAAAAGAGATGGAAGTTTATTCTAAAACCATTCAAGCTTCAAAACTTTGAAGGTTTTGGTTGAATGGTTTTAGAATGTAATTCTCTACATAATTTTAATAATTGTAAAACTAATTGTAGAATTATATTCTAAAAATGGATTTATAATATAGTTCTCTTGAATTCCCTATAATCTTTGAATTTGACAAAGATTATAAAGAATATGTGATACCACATGCATAGATGTCAACCTGTAATTACATTTAGTCAAAATGCAAGGTTCTCTAGATATTACATGAACACCACATATTTAGAAAAGCTGAAAATTGTAAAATATTCCAGTGATGGATACTTACTAATCTACAAATAACACACTTATTTTGTGGTAGCCCAGCTTCTATCTAAAATAAACACAATTTATGCTGTGCAGATTTTGTAGAGCCATTTTATGGTAAAAGACTGTCTTTAGTCAGTACAACTAATGCTGATGCTTCCATATTATTTACAAAACCATATTTACCTGAATTTACCTGAGGGGCCACTAACAGTAGTGGCCTCAACGAGGACAGGAAGCCAGTAGCTTGTCGAAGGTCCCCCCATTTGCCTTGGTGATCTTTTTCAATTGGACTTCAAAATTTAACAGAGTTTTGGCACAATTACAGCTTTGGCATATTAAGTTGTTTGTCCAAAATAATTATTATAAAACAGTTAATTTATCTAGTTTATACTCCAATATATATTTTCTAGTAATGTTTTGTATATGTTCACCATTCAAATTTTTGTTTTAAGTGGAATTAGTGACCTTTGGTTATATGGTCTATTTTAAAAGGGATGAGATTAGACTTCCAAACACATCCTTGGTACTAAGCATATTGCTCATCTTGTTGACAAATTTTGCAGTACAGTATGTAGAAATGCTCTCAATGTTCTTAATAGAGGTTCAAAATGGCAGTCACCCATATTTATTTGATGCAACTTATCACATATTTATTTTATTTATGTTGAGTTTCAGGCCCCAAGCTGGTACAGGAAATGGTTTGGTTATACTGCACTATACTGTGCAATGTGTTCACACCAAGAGCCATCATTCATTTTACATCTAGGTTTCCAATTAAATCTAGGAGCACATGGGAATAGAATGAAGGAATGGTATCCAATCATGCCACCCTTAAGGAGCCTGACAGCTGAGTGGACAGCGCTCTGGATTTGTAGTCTTAAGATTCCGGGTTCAATTCTCAGTGAAGGCAGAAATAAATGGGCAGTTTCTTTCACCCTGATGCACCTGTTCAACTAGCAATAAATAGGTACCTGGAAGTTAGACAGCTGCTATGGGCTGCTTCCTGGGGCTATGTAACAAAAAGGAGGCCTGGTTGAGGACCGGACCGCGGGAACGCTAAACCCCGAAATCATCTCAAGATAAACACAAGATATACTTAGGCTAGCAACTTGCTCCTCTTGATTGCAACACGGGTGTGCTAACACGTACACCAGAGTTTTCGACAACCTATAACATGTAGCCCAGTCTGAGGACTTTGAATGCCATGTTTCTGCAAGGAAGTATTATGTGCATTTATGCTATCATTTCTTCTTGGCAGCCTTTTCAACAGTGTCTTCTGAAATAATTAGCTCAATATTTTAACCAAATATTCCGGTGCAGCACACATTAAAAACCCTTTCTCGCATAATAAAGTTCAATCATACATTTTATCAGATTTAAACAAATGATAACAATAGATAACTACAGTATCTATATAGCCACAGTACCTGTTTTTTAAGTGTCTTAGTGCATTTAGCACAGTACCAAACAAGACGTGGATCATTGACATCTTGGTCGGTGACTGGTGGCTTGTGGCACTCTTGATGGTATAGGGAGTGGCATTCCTGGCACTCCACCAACCGATTACGTGGAGACACTTCAAAACTCCTGTTTAGTATAAAACATACAGAAGTTACAGAAACTGAAATAATCTTGTAAGAATTATAAAAATTTAGAGGAGCTTGTGAGAGTCATACAGAGAATACAGTACAGAGTGGTGAACAAAGACTAAGGCTAACAAAATGTTCTCATATTTGATCATGTCTCCAAGTATTCTAACACCACCACCACTAGTTAATTTACAGGTCAACATGTTCATACTCATGATTCAGTCAATATATAACACTTTCCAAGTCTCTCTATACAATACTCGTATTACATTGGAAACTTTTATTCTTCACTGAAGGTAATAATGAAAAGTCCAGATGAAAAGCTGAAAAGATTAGATTCTTTTTTATAACCCTCAAATTACAATTATATTTCAGCTAGACCTATGCAAGAAATTTAAAAAAATACAAATTAAAGAAATTCAGTGTAATCTTTCTTATAAAATTGTAGATCTGAATGTACAAGTTACAAAAAATAGAGCATGGGGGGAGGGGGGTAATGGTGCCCAACCACTTGGACGGTCGGAGATTGAACGTCCACCTGCATGAAGCGAGACCATCGTTCTACCGTCCACCCCACGTGGCTGAGCTTAAAACTGTGCATTTACTAACAAGGCTGCAGAAGTACTCAGGAGGCAAGCTGTGATCTCCTGGGTCAGCAATGCAACTTGCATTGAATGTCTCAATATTATGCTCTCCATAATTTGAGGGTTAAAGAAAATAAATATTCGTATTAGAACTGTACTGATTCCTGATGAGCAAGGAGGTAAAAGTAGAAAAAAAATCAGACATGGACAAGAAAATTTTGGGAAAACAAAATGTTGCTTTTAAACTTACAAAGAGCTTGGGTCTAAGACTTATCATGCTCTTCAACTTGTTAGAAAAATGACAAATCCCTAGTCCTAAAATTAATACCTCATTTGAGTAAAACATTTAAATAAAAATTAACCCCTACTGATTCCCATAATCCCGTTACATCTAAGACGCATGGCACAGGGACATGATATTTACTTCTTCCTGAGCTTTATACATAATTATCTAAATATTTTATTAAGAATTCTATTTCTATATGCTAATTCCATTGACAGCAATTACAAAATATTAATTATACAGTACAGTAGTTAAATATAGGTTAATGTAATAAAAAGGCAAACAACTAACTTGCAAACTGTGCAGTTGACCTCATCCATAATTTCCATGGCCAGATCATTCATGTCTGTATCGGATTCACTCTCATCAGACTTTCGACTACGAGAAGAACTTTCAGACTTAATGGATGGAGTTGGAGAAGGGGTGTGAGACTTGAATGCACTCGGAGAATCTAAACGTGGCCTCTTGGGCATTATCATGTCATCATCACGCATCTGCCATCATACAAGACAGTAGCTTCCAATATCAATTTGGTTCAAATAACACTAATCATCATGCACTTGAATATTATTTCAGTAATATGACCATTATCATCAGTGACATATAATGCTTTTGAACAGGTTTACAAAAAATATATTAACTAGACGATTATTACTCACACTCAATTTTCGCTCCATATCCTTTTTTATTTCCTCTCTCTTGGAAAAGGAAACAGGAATTGGACTGCCAGGTTTCGATCGTGGTATTGGAGACTCACGTCGAAGACTAAATGGATCCTGTTGAAAGATTCCTTTAATCACAGCATTACTCTTTAACGTAAAAACCTATTTAAAGTAATTAGGTATTAGAAAATTTAAAATACTGTTATCTCATATAAACAGCCTCCATCTTGCATATGTACAGTACTGTGTACATGTACTGTAAAGTATATTTAACAAACTACTGTAATTAGGTTAAAAACAATAACTATTAATTTCACCTTGTTCATAGGGGGTATGGTCTTTCCCTGTCGCTGTCTGACTGCTTCATCTACAATGGCCTTCAGCTGATCTAGAGAGTCTCGACTTCGAGAATGGAGAAGACGCAGCCCTCGGCGAAATAACGGATCCAATTCAAGACTAGCCATGTCTGTGCCCGATTTGCACACAAGCACTGAAAAATATGTATTGGATCACTCATCATATACTGTACAATATAACCCAAAAGTAAATTTTATAATACTGTACTGAATTAGGATATACTATACTGTATTATAATATTAACCAAACTACTGTATGTACCATATTAAGTGATGGCCAAGCACATACAGTACCCAGATATTCATTACTATACGAGTGTACTACAGATTTCGGTTAATGCTGAAAAAAAGTATCATTTAGTTTGTATTGAAAGACTAAAAATCTATTTCCTATACAGGAAATATTTCCTATAATGTACACTGTACATTATTTTAATCCACTTAGGTATACCAACATGAAGATAAAAGTAAAAACATTTTCAACTTCTCTTTTCATCATTTAATCTCATAAAATACTTTGGAAAACAAATAATAAATGAACCTAAAATTTAGTTTCACTTATGTTTTTCCTTATGAATACTATACAATTCTGGTGCAACTATAAAACTTTTGCTTTCTTTAAAATGTATATACATAGTGCACATTTACAGTACTTAAAAAAATTCTAATTTAGTAATTCCCATACAGCATTGTACCTGAAGTTCTGGGAGTTCTTCTACTCCCCAAGTCGGACCAGGACCAGGACCAGGCTTGACTTGTGAGTTTGGTCCACCAGGCTGTTGCTTGGAGCTACTCGCAGATCCACATATCCACCACAGCCTGGTTAGTCTGGCACTTCTTGAGAACACTCTCTAGTTTTCTCTTGAAGTTGCCCACGTTTGTTCCGGTAATATTTTTTATTCTCGCTTGGAGTATGTTGAACAACTGTGGACCTCTGATGTTTATACAGTGTTCTTTGATTGTGCCTAAGGCATTCCTGCCCTTCTCTGGTTCAATCTAGCATCATATCGTTCACTCCAGTATGTTGTTATTTTACTGTGAAGATTTGGAACCTGGCCCTCCAGTATTTCCCACATGTACATTATTTGATATCTCTCTCGTCTCCTTTCTAGAGAGTACATTTGAACAACTTTGAGACGATCCAAATAATTTAGGTGCTTTATCGCATCTATGGGTGCTGTGTATGTTCCCTGTATTCCTTCTATTTCAGCAATCTTTCCTGCTCTGAATGGGAAAGTGAGAATCGAGCAGTACTGAAGTCGGGACAGCACAAGTGATTTGAATATTACAACCACTGTGATGGGATCCTTGGATTTGAAGGTTCTCGTAATCCATCCTATAATTTTTCTGGGCGACGCAATATTTACTTGGTTATGCTCCCTAAACGTTAGGTTGTCGCATCATTATTCCCAGATCCTTTACATGCTGCTTTCCTACTATAGCCAGATTTGATTATGTTTTGGACCCTGTATTTTGTTTAAGGTCCTGAAAATGAACATTAACTTATTAATTTCCTAATTTGAGTTATTAACACTTTATTATGTTTTAATTTTCATTTTACCTTACTATTTTTATAGTGTCAATGCATACTTTGCAATGTCAACAGCCTAAACATGGTGGTTTTGGTGGGCCTCAAGGCGGCTCCTCACACACTCACACATGCACGCAAAATCTTCAAAAAGAATATTTGGTGCAGGTTTTCCAATTGCAAAGGGAACGCAATTGCCACTTGTTTGGAATGAGGAACACAAACATTGGCCTAGGCATGCATGTGTCAAAGAAGAAACATGACAAAAAAAAATTAAACATAAAAAGGACTAAAATAAAACTTCAAAATGAACAAAAAAATGCTAAGAATAAAAAAAAATCATAATACATATTTATTTATATATTTATATATATATTTTTTTTATTTATATTTAAAAAAAATGCCAAAAATGAGTGTGTTTATCCTGTATGAGCGAGACAGACACCAGCTCTGATGCTCTACTATATGAGCACTATGCTAATTTATTTATTTATTTAATTTATATATATATGTCGTACCTAGTAGCCAGAACACACTTCTCAGCCTACTATGCAAGGCCCGATTTGCCTAATAAGCCAAGTTTTCCTGAATTAATATATTTTCTCTAATTTTTTCTTATGAAATGATAAAGCTACCCATTTCATTATATATGAGGTCAATTTTTTTTTATTGTAGTTAAAATTAACGTAGATATATGACCGAACCTAACCAACCCTACCTAACCTAACCTAACCTATCTCTATAGGTTAGGTTAGGTTAGGTTAGGTAACCGAAAAAGTTATGTTAGGTTAGGTTAGGTAGTCAAAAACAAATGATTCATGAAAACTTGGCTTATTAGGCAAATCGGGCCTTGCATAGTAGGCTGAGAAGTGCGTTCTGGCTACTAGGTACGACATATATATACAAGATATATGGTTGCCCGAAACGCTATGCGTACTAGTGGCTTTAGGTATTGTATGTACTAGCTCTATCTATAAATCAATCAGAATGTTTGTAACTCTGCATCTATGTGTGTACTTTTACTAAATAAAATATCGTTATTATTATTATTATTATTATTATTATTATATTGGGTTTATGAGAGTACATAGGATTGTAAAGTTTTGTAGAGTACTGTACATAGCATTTTTGTAAAGCCACTAACACGAAGAGTGTTTCGGAAGGTCCTTAATCTAACAGATAATATTAAGTAGGTAATTTCTTGCAAAATTGATTAATGTTAACAAATACATTGTAAGAAAATTTGACGAAGATTAGTAGGTACATTTTAATAAAATTTGAGGATTGTCAACAGGTACATTGTAGCATAATTTGAGGATTGGTTCAAGGTATAATGTACTAAAATATGTATTCAATATAACAACCATGACATAACATGATAGTAGTGATTACAATGGTGAAGTTCAATGGCTTAAGACATATATTGGGGGAATGGGTAGCACAAGATACTAATGATCTAATTAGTCTAACACATGATAGCTGATTTATTATTTTCAGAAAGTGACTATCAAATAATATCCACTTTATAATACTCACTTTATAATACTATCTGTACACAACAGTTACTTAGAACGAAAAATGGAATTGTTCCAAATTTCTTTTCTTTTAAAATTACGAGCACAAATAAAATATTTTAAGCCTGTAGGATACTTCACAGACTCTAATTCGATTTATATAACCCTTAAAGGCTTATACAAGGACTTCCTCAATGAACACCTCTCATAAATAATTTCGCGGAGTTTAATTTGAGTAAATTAAACGTTAACTTCAAAATAATCAAGCTTTCTCGACATAAGGAAAACATTTGGGTCTGTGGAACCCGAGACCAACACCTTGACGGACAAAATACACATTTCACAAAATATCAACATCCATTTCGTGCTTCTTTCACCATGTAACAAGCTATTTGGTAGTAAAAGTGTCACTTTACAAGTGCGGCGTGCTAAATACCGCCACAGCTGTTGAGGGAACTTACGATTCATAGGAAAGTGTGGGCTTGGTCCTCTCCTGCCACCTCCACTACAAGAGTATTTACATGTGACGTCACTAGTGCCGCCATGCGCATGCGCGGCTCGGGGAGGTGGGAGGGGGGGATTATGGGACGGGTGGGAGGGGAAGAGGCAAGGTCGGATGGGAGGGAAGAGACAGGGACTGGCGGGAGGGAAGAGACGGGGACTGGTGGGAGGGAAGAGACGGGGGACTGGCGGGAGGGAAGAGACGGGGGACTGGCGGGAGGGAAGAGACGGGGGGTGGGACTGGTGGGAGGGAAGAGACGGGGACTGGTGGGAGGGAAGAGACGGGGACTGGCGGGAGGGAAGAGACGGGGGACTGGCGGGAGGGAAGAGACGGGGACTGGTGGGAGGGAAGAGACGGGGACTGGTGGGAGGGAAGAGACGGGGACTGGTGGGAGGGAAGAGACGGCGACTGGCGGGAGGGAAGAGACGGGGACTGGTGGGAGGGAAGAGACGGGGACTGGTGGGAGGGAAGAGACGGGGACTGGTGGGAGGGAAGAGACGGGGAACTGGCGGGAGGGAAGAGACGGGGACTGGTGGGAGGGAAGAGACGGGGACTGGTGGGAGGGAAGAGACGGGGACTGGTGGAAGGGAAGAGACGGGGACTGGTGGGAGGGCAGACGGGGACTAGCGGGAGGGAAGACGGGGACTGGTGAGAGGGTAGACGGGGACTGGTGAGAGGGTAGACGGGGACTGGCGGGAGGGAAGAGACGGGGACTGGCGGGAGGGAAGAGACGGGGACTGGCGGGAGGGAAGAGACGGGGACTGGTGGGAGGGAAGACGGGGACTGGCGGGAGGGAAGACGGGGACTGGTGAGAGGGTAGACGGGGACTGGTGAGAGGGAAGAGACGGGGACTGGCGGGAGGGAAGACGGGGACTGGCGGGAGGGAAGAGACGGGGACTGGCGGGAGGGAAGACGGGGACTGGCGGGAGGGAAGAGACGGGGACTGGTGGGAGTGAAGAGAGGAAGAGACGGGGGACTGGCGGGAGGGAAGACGGGGACTGGCGGGAGGGAACAGACGGGGACTGGTGGGAGGGAAGAGAGGAAGAGACGGGGACTGGCGGGAGGGAAGAGACGGGGACTGGTGGGAGGGAAGAGACGGGGACTGGTGGGAGGGAAGAGACGGGGACTGGCGGGAGGGGAGACGGGGACTGGTGGGAGGGAAGAGAGGAAGAGACGGGGACTGGCGGGAGGGAAGAGACGGGGACTGGTGGGAGGGAAGAGACAGGGACTGGCGGGAGGGAAGACGGGGACTGGCGGGAGGGAAGAGACGGGGACTGGCGGGAGGGAAGACGGGGACTGGCGGGAGGGAAGAGACGGGGACTGGTGGGAGGGAAGAGAGGAAGAGACGGGGACTGGCGGGAGGGAAGAGACGGGGACTGGTGGGAGGGAAGAGACGGGGACTGGCGGGAGGGAAGACGGGGACTGGCGGGAGGGAAGAGACGGGGACTGGCGGGAGGGAAGACGGGGACTGGCGGGAGGGAAGAGACGGGGACTGGCGGGAGGGAAGAGACGGGGACTGGTGGGAGGGAAGAGACGGGGACTGGCGGGAGGGAAGACGGGGACTGGCGGGGGAAGGACGGGGAAGAGACGGGGACTGGCGGGAGGGAAGACGGGGACTGGCGGGAGGGAAGAGACGGGGACTGGCGGGAGGGAAGAGACGGGGACTGGCGGGAGGGAAGACGGGGACTGGCGGGAGGGAAGAGACGGGGACTGGCGGGAGGGAAGAGACGGGGGCTGGCGGGGGAGGGAAGAGACGGGGACTGGCGGGAGGGAAGACGGGGACTGGCGGGAGGGAAGAGACGGGGACTGGTGGGAGGGAAGACGGGGACTGGCGGGAGGGAAGACGGGGACTAGCGGGAGGGAAGAGACGGGGACTGGTGGGAGGGAAGAGGCGGGGACTGGCGGGAGGGAAGACGGGGACTGGCGGGAGGGAAGACGGGGACTGGCGGGGAGGGAAGAGACGGGGACTGGCGGGAGGGAAGAGACGGGGACTGGTGGGAGGGAAGAGAGGAAGAGACGGGGGACTGGCGGGAGGGAAGAGACGGGGACTGGTGGGAGGGAAGAGACGGGGACTGGCGGGAGGGAAGACGGGAACTGGCGGGAGGGAAGAGACGGGGACTGGCGGGAGGGAAGAGACGAGGATGGTGGGAGGGAAGAGAGGAAGAGACGGGGACTGGCGGGAGGGAAGAGACGGGGATTGGTGGGAGGGAAGAGAGGAAGAGACGGGGACTGGCGGGAGGGAAGAGACGGGGACTGGTGGGAGGGAAGAGACGGGGACTGGCGGGAGGGAAGACGGGGACTGGCGGGAGGGAAGAGACGGGGACTGGCGGGAGGGAAGACGGGGACTGGCGGGAGGGAAGACGGGGACTGGCGCGAGGGAAGACGGGGACTGGCGGGAGGGAAGAGACGGGGACTGGCGGGAGGGAAGACGGGGACTGGCGGGAGGGAAGAGACGGGGACTGGTGGGAGGGAAGAGAGGAAGAGACGGGGGACTGGCGGGAGGGAAGAGACGGGGACTGGTGGGAGGGAAGAGACGGGGACTGGCGGGAGGGAAGACGGGGACTGGCGGGAGGGAAGAGACGGGGACTGGCGGGAGGGAAGACGGGGACTGGCGGGAGGGAAGACGGGGACTAGTGAGAGGGTAGACGGGGACTGGTGAGAGGGTAGACGGGGACTGGCGGGAGGGAAGAGACGGGGACTGGCGGGAGGGAAGAGACGGGGACTGGCGGGAGGGAAGAGACGGGGACTGGTGGGAGGGAAGACGGGGACTGGCGGGAGGGAAGACGGGGACTGGTGAGAGGGTAGACGGGGACTGGTGAGAGGGAAGAGACGGGGACTGGCGGGAGGGAAGACGGGGACTGGCGGGAGGGAAGAGACGGGGACTGGCGGGAGGGAAGACGGGGACTGGCGGGAGGGAAGAGACGGGGACTGGTGGGAGGGAAGGAAGACGGGGACTGGCGGGAGGGAAGAGACGGGGACTGGTGGGAGGGAAGAGAGGAAGAGACGGGGGACTGGCGGGAGGGAAGAGACGGGGACTGGTGGGAGGGAAGAGACGGGGACTGGTGGGAGGGAAGAGACGGGGACTGGCGGGAGGGAAGAGACGGGGACTGGTGGGAGGGAAGAGAGGAAGAGACGGGGACTGGCGGGAGGGAAGAGACGGGGACTGGTGGGAGGGAAGAGACGGGGACTGGCGGGAGGGAAGACGGGGACTGGCGGGAGGGAAGAGACGGGGACTGGCGGGAGGGAAGACGGGGACTGGCGGGAGGGAAGAGACGGGGACTGGTGGGAGGGAAGAGAGGAAGAGACGGGGACTGGCGGGAGGGAAGAGACGGGGACTGGTGGGAGGGAAGAGACGGGGACTGGCGGGAGGGAAGACGGGGACTGGCGGGAGGGAAGAGACGGGGACTGGCGGGAGGGAAGACGGGGACTGGCGGGAGGGAAGAGACGGGGACTGGCGGGAGGGAAGAGACGGGGACTGGTGGGAGGGAAGAGACGGGGACTGGCGGGAGGGAAGACGGGGACTGGCGGGAGGGAAGAGACGGGGACTGGCGGGAGGGAAGACGGGGACTGGCGGGAGGGAAGAGACGGGGACTGGCGGGAGGGAAGAGACGGGGACTGGCGGGAGGGAAGACGGGGACTGGCGGGAGGGAAGAGACGGGGACTGGCGGGAGGGAAGAGACGGGGGCTGGCGGGAGGGAAGAGACGGGGACTGGCGGGAGGGAAGACGGGGACAGGCGGGAGGGAAGAGACGGGGACTGGTGGGAGGGAAGACGGGGACTGGCGGGAGGGAAGACGGGGACTAGCGGGAGGGAAGAGACGGGGACTGGTGGGAGGGAAGAGGCGGGGACTGGCGGGAGGGAAGACGGGGACTGGCGGGAGGGAAGACGGGGACTGGCGGGAGGGAAGAGACGGGGACTGGCGGGAGGGAAGAGACGGGGACTGGTGGGAGGGAAGAGAGGAAGAGACGGGGGACTGGCGGGAGGGAAGAGACGGGGACTGGTGGGAGGGAAGAGACGGGGACTGGCGGGAGGGAAGACGGGAACTGGCGGGAGGGAAGAGACGGGGACTGGCGGGAGGGAAGAGACGGGGACTGGTGGGAGGGAAGAGAGGAAGAGACGGGGACTGGCGGGAGGGAAGAGACGGGGATTGGTGGGAGGGAAGAGAGGAAGAGACGGGGACTGGCGGGAGGGAAGAGACGGGGACTGGTGGGAGGGAAGAGACGGGGACTGGCGGGAGGGAAGACGGGGACTGGCGGGAGGGAAGAGACGGGGACTGGCGGGAGGGAAGACGGGGACTGGCGGGAGGGAAGACGGGGACTGGCGGGAGGGAAGACGGGGACTGGCGGGAGGGAAGAGACGGGGACTGGCGGGAGGGAAGACGGGGACTGGCGGGAGGGAAGAGACGGGGACTGGTGGGAGGGAAGAGAGGAAGAGACGGGGGACTGGCGGGAGGGAAGAGACGGGGACTGGTGGGAGGGAAGAGACGGGGACTGGCGGGAGGGAAGACGGGGACTGGCGGGAGGGAAGAGACGGGGACTGGCGGGAGGGAAGACGGGGACTGGCGGGAGGGAAGAGACGGGGACTGGTGGGAGCGAAGAGACGGGGACTGGCGTGAGGGAAGAGACGGGGACTGGTGGGAGGGAAGAGAGGAAGAGACGGGGGACTGGCGGGAGGGAAGAGACGGGGACTGGTGGGAGGGAAGAGACGGGGACTGGCGGGAGGGAAGAGACGGGGACTGGCGTGAGGGAAGAGACGGGGACTGGTGGTGGGAGGGAAGAGAGGAAGAGACGGGGGACTGGCGGGAGGGAAGAGACGGGGACTGGTGGGAGGGAAGAGAGGAAGAGACGGGGACTGGCGGGAGGGAAGAGACGGGGACTGGTGGGAGGGAAGAGACGGGGACTGGTGGGAGGGAAGAGACGGAGACTGGTGGGAGGGAAGAGACGGGGACTGGCGGGAGGGAAGAGAGGAAGAGACGGGGACTGGCGGGAGGGAAGAGACGGGGACTGGTGGGAGAGAAGAGACGGGGACTGGTGGGAGGGAAGAGACGGAGACTGGTGGGAGGGAAGAGACGGGGAC